ACTTGACATGTTTTGGGTTGTTGGAAGTTCTAGATTGGCTGCATTTTTCCTGAATGCAGCAGGTGTAAAAATCCCCCCCCCTCCCCCCACTTTTTAAAAAAATATTTAGATCTAATTTATTTCCGTCTGCTCAGGAGACTTGGGTTTGATCCCTGAGCCAAGAAGATCCCTTGGAGGAGAAAATGGCAACCCACTCCAGTATTTTGCCAGGACAATCCCATGGACAGAGGAGCCTGGTGGGGTATAGTCCGTAGGATTATAAAGAGTCGGAGGTGACTGAGCCACTGAGCACATTGTTACTGATAGGTGTAATTGACGTAAATGGTCCTTCAAACACAGCTGTGCCCAAGTCTCTCAGGGGGTTCTCTCAGGGAGTCTTCTGCAATTGGGCAGGACAAGTTTCTTGATATTTCTTGTTTTAAGACTTTTCCTTTTAGTTACCAGGTTTACTTTAGCTCTCCATGGAAATCAGAGAAGGCAATGACAACCCACTCCAGTACTCTTGCCTGGAAACTCCCATGGACGGAGGAGCCTGGTAGGCTGCAGTCCATGGGGTCACTAACAGTCGGACACGACTGAGCGACTTCACTTTCACTTTTCACTTTCATGCATTGGAGAAGGAAATGGCAACCCACTCCAGTGTTCTTGCCTGGAGAATCCCAGGGACAGAGGAGCCTGGTGGGCTGCCATCTATGGGGTCACACAGGGTCGGACACAACTGAAGCGACTTAGCAACAGCAGCTTCATGAAAATGGAAGGTGAATGTCCAGAATTTAAAGGACAAAAAAAAATGCAGTGTATAAAGTCATTCCTTTGAGAAAAAATTCCTCTTCCTATCTTATATTCAGTTCAGTTCAGTCACTCAGTCGTGTCCGACTCTTTACAACCCCATGGACTGCAGCACTCCAGGCCTCCCTGTCTTATCACCAACCCCTGGAGCCTACTCAAATTCATGTCCATCACATCAGTGATCCAACCGTCTCATCCTCTCTCATCCCCTTCTCCTCACACCTTCAGTCTTTCCCAGCATCAGGGTCTTTTCCAGTGAGTCAGTGCTTTGCATCACGTGGCCAAAGTATTGGCATTTCAGCTTCAACATCAGTCCTTCCAATGAAGACCCAGGACAGATCTCCTTTAGGATGGACTGGTTAGATCTCCTTGCAGTTCAAGGGACTCTCAAGAGTCTTCTCCAACACCACAGTTCAAAAGCATCAATTCTTCAGTGCTCAGCTTTGTTTATAGTCCAACTCTCACATCCATACATGACCACTGGAAAAACCATAGCCTTGACCAGACAGACCTTTGTTGGCAAAGTAATGTCTCTGCTTTTTAATATGCTGTCTAGGTTAGTCATAACTTCCCTTCCAAGGAGCAAGCGTCTTTTAATTTCATTGCTGCAATCACCATCTGCAGTGGTTTTGGAGCCCCCAAAAAAGAAGTCTGTCACTGTTTCCACTGTTTCCCCATCTATTTCCCATGAAGTGATGGGACCAGATGCCATGATCTTAGTTTTCTGAATGTTGAGTTCTAAGCCAGCTTTTTTACTCTCTTCTGTGACTTTTATCAAGAGGCTCTTTAGTGCTTCTTCACTTTCTGCCATAAGGGTGGTATCATCTGCATGTCTGAGGTTATTGATACTTCTTCTGGCAATCTTGATTCCAGCTTGTGCTTCATCCAACCTGGCATTTCGCATGATGTACTCTGCATATAAGTTAAATAAGTAAGCAGGGTGACAATATATAGCCTTGATGTACTCCTTTCCCAATTTGGAACCAGTTTGTTGTTCCATATCTAGTTCTAACTGTTGCTTCCTGACCTGCATACAGATTCCTCCGGAGGCAGGTCAGATGGTCTGGTATTGCCATCTCTTTCAGAATTCTCCACAGTTTGTTGTGATCCACATGGTCAAAGGCTTTGGCATAGTCAATAAAGCAGAAATAGATGTTTTTCTGCAACTCTCTTGCTTTTTTGATGATCTAGCAGATGTTGGCAGTTTGATCCCTGGTTCCTCTGCCTTTCTAAATCCAGCTTGAACATCTGGAAGTTCACAGTTCACATACTGTTGAAGCCTGGCTTGGAAAATTTTGAGCATTGCTTGCTAGCTTGTGGGATGAGTGCAGTTGTGCGGTAGTTTGAACATTTCTTTGGCATTGCCTTTCTTTGGGATTGGAATGAAAACTGACCTTTCTGGTCCTGTGGCCACTGCTGAGTTTTCCAGATTTGCTGGCATATTGAGTGCAGCACTTTCACAGCATTATCTTTTAAGATTTCAAATAGCTTAACTGGAATTCCATCATCTCCACTAGCTTTGTTCGTGGTGATGCTTCCTAAGGCGCACTAACTTTTCATTCCAGGATGTCTGGCTCTAGGTGAGTGATCACACCATCCTGGTTATCTGGGTCATGAAGATCTTTTTTGTATAGTTCTTCTGTGTATTCTTGCCAGCTCTTCTTAATATCTTCTGCTTCTGTTAGGTCCATACCATTTCTGTCCTTTATTGTGCTCAGCTTTGTATGAAATATTCCCTTGGTATCTCTGATTTTCTTAAAGAGATCTCTAGTCTTTCCCATTCTGTTGTTTTCCTCTGTTTCTTTGCATTGATCACTGAGGAAGGCTTTCTTATCTCTCCTTGCTATTCTTTAGAACTCTGCATTCACATGATTATATCTTTCCTTTTCTCCTTTGCCTTCCACTTCTCTTTTCTCAGCTATTTGTAAGCCCTCAGACAACCATTTTGCCTTTTGCATTGCTTTTTCTTGGGGATGGTCTTGATCACTGCCTCCTGTACAATGTCACAAATCTCATCCATAGTTCTTCAGGCACTCTGTCTATCAGATCTAATCCCTTGAATCTATTTGTTACTTCCACTGTATAATCACAAGGGATTTGATTTAGGTCATACCTGAATGGTCTAGTGGTTTTCTCTACTTTCTTCAATTTAAGTCTGAATTTGGCAATAAGGAGTTCCTGATCTGAGCCACAGTCAGCTCCCAGTCTTTTTTTTGCTGACTGTATAGAGCTTCTTCATCTTTGTCTGCAAAGAATATAATGAGTCTGATATTGGTATTGACCATCTGGTGATGTCCATGTGTAGAGTCTTGTCTTGTGTTGTTGGAATCTTACATTAGCTTCAGCCAAGGAAATGGGTCCCATATGTTAGCAGTAGAAATATTAGAAGACACCTACTCATATGAAAGTGTCCTTTGTTAAATGTATGTATTTGTAAAATTCTAATAAAATCAGATTTGTAGGTAGATATTTAAAGCAAAACCTAGCTTATGGTAATTTACTGTAATGTATCCTGTATTAAAATATAGCATACTTTATTGTGGCCACACTTTTTTCACTGGCTCTCTTCTGCTCTATAGAGGAAAAAAAAGTGTGGGGGATATACCTAGAGCAATATATTTCATCAGTTTTTCATCACGTAAGGTAGGGTTTTTTCCTTATGAAGATTTTGCTATATTCAAGTATGAGGCAATTTGTGGGGCTGAGATATACTTACTGATAAGTCTGGTTTGGGAACTACTAGTTTATATTTGATGTGCTGAGACATTTCAGTTGTGTCTAACTCTTTGCAATCCCATGGACTGTAGCCTGCTGGGCTCCTGTGTCCATGGGATACTCCAAGCAAGAATACTGGAGTGGGTAACCATTCCCTTCCCCAGGGGATCTTCCCAACCCAGGGATCAAACCCATGTCTCTTTTATGTTTTCTGCATTGGCAGGCAAGTTCTTTTCCACTTGTCTTATAAAAATATCATCATACCTAGTGAATCAGAATCTGTGAAAGTGGGGCTCTTGAATTTGTACTTTTAGCCAGATCTCCAGGTGATTTTTTCTCACCCCCTAAGAGCCAGATGGGGGACTTTCCTGGCAGTTCAGTGGTTAGGACTCCATGTTTGCACTGCAGGGGGCCTGAGTTCCATCTCTGGTCAGGAAACCAAGATCCTAAAGGACAGGAAGCACAGCGAGAAACTTTTAAAAGGGGTGAGGGTGCTGATCAAGAAATAGAATGACTGCTAAGAATTGCTGCGCCAATAAAAATGGTGCATCATACTGCAGTATAAAATTCACTTAGAGGATTGATGGTTAATTTTATATCAGAGTGATTTATTATGAACTAACATATATCCAGGCATTGTTAAATATGAGACTTCTACTTTGATCTAGTTTGACCTGTGCTTACAGATTCCTTGGAATATATGAATTTACTCCTGCCTATTCAGATGCTTAGATAGATATGTTTCAGAAGCAGCACTATTGATATTCTGAATGTATTAGGGCTAAGGAAGGAAATAATAGATTTATTATCTGTCAAAACAGTGCTGAGGCAAGATGGATAAAGAAAACTGGTAGAAGAATTGAGTAAAAGAAAAAGCAGAGGAAAAGAGCGAATAATTAGGAGACTCATTCAACCTTTGCTTTTTCATCCAAGCACATAGGTCTTTACTCCTTAATAAGTGGAAATTTGTGCTCATCATACTGGAATTTTTAGTTCAGATGAGGTAGAATATATAGCAGTCATTTCCTTTTATGTATATGGCACCTTAGATAATAGCATTGTTTTCAGTAGGAGGAGTGTTCCTATCACATGTAATTCATATTGTCCTAAAATTGAACACTTGGATTTGGAATTTTAGTGTATTTGATTTCTGTGTGTGGAGAACAATGAGTAGAATTTGAAAAACCATTCTTGTTCATATAGTTGTCTTTCACTCATCTAAAAATGCTTGGTAATTTAGAAAATTTAAAAGTAATTTGTGAAAAACAGCTGAAATATAAAATAATCAGAAGGTTTTTTTCCTACTACATGGTTATTCATATTAGTAAAATCATTACTTATTGAAATGATAAAAATAAACTACAAGCAGTTGTTCATCTTGTACCTGGCATTGATTTTGTTTGTTTTCAGTTTGGTTTTTAAAATATTAACTTATATGAGAATATTTTATTTTTTGGTAATACAGATAAAATTAATGGAATTTTGTTCTTTCTTAGGTCATGTTTACTGGTGAAAATATTCCTGTTCATCCTCATGTTTATAGCAATGGTCATATCTGTTTATCCATTCTAACAGAAGACTGGTCCCCAGCGCTCTCAGTCAAGTCAGTTTGTCTTAGCATTATTAGCATGCTTTCCAGCTGCAAAGAAAAGGTAGGACTTTTCAGAACTATTCAGAACTCTTCTTTTAGTTCAGGTAGAGAAACTATTTTAATATAAAATTTATTGGAAGAAAGTACTTGATGCTTTTTACTATGAAGTTATAGAGGATGTTTAATAGTAGATTGGAAAATAATTTGATAATAGACATCAGACTTTATATTTCTTAAATAGGAAATTCCTTCAGATGTTCTTAAATAATCCAAGTTTTATTTCTGTAGGCATGCACAGGGCAAAAGCGTATAAGAAATTATGGTTTCTAAATTTCACCATGGAAAGCCCCAGAAACAATCCTCCTAGCTCCCTTCGCCTCTCTGCTGGTTTCCACCCTGTCAGCCTCCTTTAAGGAATTTTCCTATCATAAAGACTAGACTGAAGGTGGCGGACGAAATCACTAATAGAATTTTCAGGACTTTTCCTCTTATTCTCCTTTACTAATCTACAGATTCTGTCTGATAGAGAAAGGGAGAAAAGATCAGAAAGAAAATTCATGTGAGTTAAATTTAGAATACCCTTTTAAAATGTCTAAATCCTCTCTGTTTCCAGCCCTCTTTGTCATTCCTGCTTGAAGGCTAGTGTCTCAATATTCTTGTATTTCTACATTTTAAAGCTTCTCTTCTCCATGGTGAGGGGAGGGTTTCGTTTTGTATTCTGTTTAAAGGAGAAATGAATTTATCTTGGAGATCAGGGAGCTGTAGGGTTATTCATTTATTGTAGCAGGGCTTTTTTTCCATTTGAACTGTCACTTTTAGTAAATTACTATTTAGAGAATGTTGGAGAGAGTACTTTATTTTTAAATGGCAGCTTATCTAGATTTTGAAACACTCTTAAGCCACTTGTTTGCAAGGTGAGTTTCTTAGAATGTGAGTTCCATAGGAGGTTTCTTGGTGTTCAGTTTATTAAAAAAAAATTTGTTCAAATAAGAATGGGAAATAATGGGTTAAATTGCATATATATTTATAAATTCTAATGTGAGAGCCTTTAATATTCTATTTTATGTACCACAAGAGAAAGAAAAACTTCTTGCAGTTAAACTATCATATACCCTTAGTCGAAAGACGATCCCCATATGGGTAAAATATTAAGAAAAAAAATGTACATCTTAGAATAGATGAAAGAGGGTACATATTATCTAATGTTAGTATCACCTTTTAACTTGAATTTCTTCTTGGTTGTTGGCTTTTCTTGGCTGCATTTTAGGCTACACTTGAGCTTTTGTTAACCCCAAGGGCTTGGAAACAAGTTTTATTCATTTATTGCTTCCATATTTTCTCCTCTCCCTGCCTCCAACCCCAACACACATACAAACTTTAAATTTAGGTGTGGGGCAGAGCAGTTTACAATTACAAAGGTTTCTCTTAATTTTAATGCCTATAGAAAGATGAGGTAGTTAACTGTAGGATTTAATAAGAGAAGTTAAGATTAATGCCAGTGGTGTTTGTGCATAGTTCTTACATGTGCCTTATGATTATTAGATCTGTTTACATTTAAATGCAGTGATTTACTATTAAAACTAGAAAATGATTTTGTTCTCTAACTCCTTCATCCTTTTCTAACCCTCATCTTTCCCCTCACTTTCTAGTTGTCTCTTAGTGTTTCTTGCATAGTTAGTGTAAGACTAATCATTCCATTTAAATTATTGACAAACTATATTATATAATATAAACTATAAATTTTACTTTATTCAACCAAAATGATAATATGGAAGTTAGATTCTGACAGCGTTAGTTTTGTGAAAAATGATAAAATTCAGACATTATTAGGGCCCTACTATGTGCTGTTGTTACTGTGCTAAGTACCAGGTTACTAAGATGAAGAGGAAACATGCTCTGTCTTTGAGAGGAGTCTAGCGTGAAACAAACTTTAAAAAGTCTTTTAAAATTCACTGAAAATTGTTCTGTTAAACAGGTGAGTTTTATTCTGTAGTGGACATGGATATATGAATTTCACTTTAATAGTCAACTCTCAGAATACAAATTTTAATTTTACCAGAGGCATTTTTTAGTCATAATTCTTCTGTTCCAGTTTCCTTTTTCATAGTCAAGAATGGTTCCCTAGACTGAAGGCTTTTAAATCCATTATGTCCACAGATTAAAGATCATTTCTGATATTGAGACCAGGGGCCTTTCAGTAACCTACACTTTAGTCTCAGTGATCTTGTGATACAGATAGTCCAAACTTTCCAGCTTGTATTCCATTCTTAAAACAATTTAGCTAATCCAGTTTTTTGTATCCTTACTTTATTTTTTTAAGAAACATATCGCCTAGTCACTTACTAAATTGCTTATATTCTTGATAAAAGCAAATAGAATGAACTTTTCCCCTTTCTTTTGTTTTTTGAAGATTGGGATGTGATAAATGAGTTTATAAAATTGTAGCAGCAGTAGCAGCTTATTCCACACGAGCACAGGTTATGACTTTACAGGACAAACAATAGCAGACCATCTATTCTTTGAAGTAGGCATCTGATTTCATGGTAATTTTTCAGGAATTTTCTCTAACTGTATAAACAGGATAATCTTGGAATAGTTGTTCAGCGTCTTATGCTCTACTCTTTGTGTTAAATTACTGTTACTGCTATCTCATAGGAGTTAGATAATAGTTTTGTATGTGGATTTTGGATGCGTCAAGTGAGACTGTCAGTTTCAATTCCTGCTACATCAGTAGTCCTATTCAGCATTGCTGTTTAGTTGGACCTATCATATATCTACTAACCCGCCTTAAGTGGCTTTAATACACATTTCACATGTTTCCAAATCTTTGTAGAGAGGCACATATTTCTTGTGTTTGTTCAACATCTAATAGTTTTCAAGAAAATTATTTTACAACCTGTCTTCACTGTTGTTGGCATCACTATTTCCGATGGAGCTCCCCTGTAGAGCTGCCATATGTATCTAATAGTGTGCTGGTCTGGACATATGTATAGTAGAAATGATAATGTATCTCCCCCTTCTTTTCCTCTTACATACATTTTGGAAACTGAATCCTTTGGTTTCTCCTTAACTATGCTTTTTTTACAGGAAAGCAAATTGTTTATAAATTGTTTATAAATTGCTAGAATTTCTCAGACAAAGCTAGTTAGGTAGACTTTTGTTTTAATTAGCTCATAGAAATAATTATTAAGTTACTTCTAGGGAGACAAGATAAATAAAACTAGAATTCTTTAGAACCTAGATTATGCTGCCACTATGGTTGATTGTCATTCTCTAGTAATTCCACTGGAAGCTAACCCAAATCACATATGCATATCTGTTTTGGAAAAAAAAAAAATGTCAGTGTTTTAGAGGCTACATTTCCTGGAATATTTTTTTTTCAGTGTGACATCAGCATTTATATTGTTTCTTATACATTCTATAATAATTTTGCCTAGAGATTTTATTAAAACTGTCTCCTTATGTTTTCCTGTTTTATAACTTATCTATTTAAACTTTTTCATTTCAGAGACGACCACCAGATAATTCTTTTTATGTTCGAACATGTAACAAGAATCCAAAGAAAACAAAATGGTGGTATCATGGTAAGCAGTTTTACTTAGAATGATAATTTTTCAGTATTTATGTTTGAAAGATTATAAATCTGCTTGGGAAAAAAGAAGTAATTATGTAATGGATGTTGTGGATAAGTTAGACCAGATTTTTAATGGAGCACATAAAATCATAGCCATCATACAAGTAGAATCTAAAATTGCTTGAATATTCTGCCCTACTATTTTATTATAAAAAAGAAGTACTTAATAATAATAAATCAAATTAGAACTAGCCTATTTGGAAACCTGTTACTGGAGATAGAAGTTATGATGCCAGTGTACTCAGCTGTGGTACTCTTGTTGGCGGGTAGAATGTCATATTGTTAGAGATGGCCTATTAACTTAAAGAAAGCTCTTCCTAATCTAATAGTTATTCCTAAAAAATCTGAGGTTCTACTGATTGTAGCTTTATGAATACATTATTTTTAATATTTTAATTTCTGTTTTTGTTGGGTGATGGTAGCTTAATAATTGAAGGCAGCTATCACCTTTTCTAAACTGCTTCCTCAGAGAGGTGTTTGAAATTAAAAACAGAAAAAAGAAACCGTAAAATTATTTTGAAATATTATAAAAATGTGTATTCTTTATAAATTATTGGTTTAATGTGTAGTTCAATAGAAGTTTAGTAGAATGATAGAATGGATGCTTTTAAGGTTTCAAAGAAAGATGAGAAAGGTTTTTTTTGTTTGTTTTTTTTTAATTAAGATATTGAAGGAGGAAAAGTCTACCAAACACCAAAAGATAATAGTGTAAGAACAGACATCAAAATAGAATTACTCTTTTCTAGGCCTTTTTGTATATAAGTTTTGAATATGTGATAAATAAATGTATCACAAACCAATGAGAAGGGAAAAATTATTTAGTAAGTAATCCTGTTAGAAAATTGGTATTTTGGGGAAAGAAGATTTTATCTTTTCATATAGAAAATATTTCCCAAAAACCATTTTGGGAAATAGAAATTTATCTTTTCATATAGAAAATATTTCCTTTGGATTGAATTAATAAGCATTTTAAAAACTACATACAGTAGACAAAGTATATTTTTTAAGTTGGGTATCAGCTCTGGAGGAAGGAAGAAAGAACTTCTGAACTTAAAAGGAGTCACAGGTTAAACATTTAGATAATGTGAAAATGTAAATCGTATATAAAAGCTTGGGAAAAAACTGCAAATCACAGTCAATGTAAAGTTAAAAAATAAAATTGCTGAAAACATAGCTTTGTAATAATAAAGACCATTTATAATCGCTACTCAAGAATAAATTAATTACAATCATGGGCGTAAAAGTTCAAAACAGTAAAATAATTAAATTTTAATATTTTGAAACTTATTGGCAGTTTTATAAAATGAGTGTGGTGTTGAAGGAGGAGGACTAAGAGCTTAATAAAACTTGTCTTATTTGCTGGTGGTATAGCAGTGGTAGTTGCTCGGTTGAGTCTGACTCTTGCAACTCCATAGACTGTAGCCCATCAGGCTCTTCTGTACGTGGAGTTCTCAAGGCAAGAACACTGGAGTGGGTTGCCATTCCCTTCTCCAGGGGATCTTTCTGATCCAGGGATCAACCTGGCTTTCCTGCATTGCAGGCAGATTCTTTAGCATCTGAGCCACCAGGGAAGCCTGGTGGTATAGCAAGTTCAGTTCAACTTAGTCGTGTCCGACTCTTTGCGACCCATGGACTGCAGCACACCAGGCCTCCCTGTCCATCACCAACTCCCGGAGTTTACTCAAACTCATGTCCATTGAGTCAGTGATGCCATCCAACCATCTCATCCTCTGTTGTCCCCTTCTCCCGCCTTCAGTCTTTCCTAGCATCAGGGTCTTTTCAAATGAGTCAGTTCTTCGCATCATGTGGCCAAATTATTGTAGTTTCAGCTTCAGCATCAGTCCTTCTAATGAACACCCAGGACTGATTTCCTTTAGGATGGACTGGTTGGATCTCCTTGCAGACCAAGGGACTCTCAAGAGTCTTCTCCAACACCACAGTTCAAAAGCATCAATTCTTCAATGCTCAGCTTTGTTTATAGTCCAACTCTCACATCCATACATGACTACTGGAAAAACCATAGCCTTAACTAGATGGACCTTTGTTGGTTAAGTAATGTCTCTGCTTTTTAATGTGCTATCTAGGTTGGTCATAACTTTTTTTTCCAAGGAGCAAGCATCTTTTAATTTCACTGTTGCCCTCGTGTCTGCAGTGATTTTGGAGTCCCCAAAAATGAAGTCTGTCACTTCATTGTTTCCCCACCTATTTCCCATGATGTGATGGGACCAGATGCCATGATCTTAGTTTTCTGAATGTTGAATTTTAAGCTGACATTTTCACTCTCCTCTTTGACTTTCATCAAGAGGCTCTTCTTCACTTTCTGCCATAAGGGTGGTATCATCTGCATATCTGATGTAGCAGGTTAATCTTTTAAGAAAACAACAGCTTCTCTTTCTTTCACATCCTCTTGCCTTTTAGGACTAAGCACTGAGTTGTCTCTTCCCTCTGTACCTTTACAAAAAACCTTTTCCAAAAAACCCAAAAACACTCCTTGAGTGTCACAGTCCCCTTTATCTTTCATAAGTTCTTTAAATTATCAGAGACTAAGATAAGTCAATCAATAATGTTGAGAAACCCAACTACATCAAACATTTTTTAAAATGTCAAAGTTGCCAAGATAGTAGTCATTCTATTTCAGACCCAGACTCACTAATAATAGGAAAATTTCCCTATTATCTTTTCCAGTGTTCCCCTCTTCCCCCCGGTGTTTTGAAACCACTTTTAAGTTTTTGTTTTTGTTGTTGTTAAGCTTGAGAAGAAATTGTCTTAGAATGATGAAATTTAGAAAATAAGTATATTTTGAAAGTATAGTCCTCTTTTCCACTCTGTCCCACCCCATTGTTAGACAATATATTCCCATTTTCTTTTCTGTTTCATAGGGAAGTTTCAAAAAGATCATCATCTTTGAAGCTCTCTAATGCTGTCTTATGTTGAAAGGACTTAAGAGAAGGCCTTTACTTAAGAATACTTCTAGAATTTCTTACTGCCTGCTTTTGAATAAAAAGCTTGCATAATAAGTCAGGAAATATAATAATTCTTTAAAATATACTTCATAGACGTTTTTCATAGTCATTTTTATGTTACTTGAAAAATCTGTATTTTTAAAACTGAAGTAGGAAAGTCTTAATGGTTTAAGGATGGATCATCTCCAAGTTAGCGAAGAATTTTTTTAAAGGCTTTTTAAACTAAATTAACCTTTTACTTAATGTAAAATAGTACAGAGTTTGTGTAGGAATTCATCTTCCCAATAAACAGATTGAAGAAAGTATCCCTGCCCCCATATGAATTAGCCATTTTAAAAAGGCACCTGTTTCTAATTCAACTAAACCATTACTTTCTTGGTCTTGTTTCCTGTTGCAGATACAGATACTTTTTTTCATTTACAGATAATCTTGTTTAAAACATCCTCAGTTTGTTCTTTGGGCTTTCCAGTGGTAAAAAGTCCCTATCTGCCAGTGCAGGAAAGGCATGAGATGTGGGTTCAGTTCTCGGGTTGGGAATATTCCCTGGAGGAGGAAATTGCAAACCACTTCTGTATTCTTGCCTGCCAGTCTGTTGGGTCGCAAAGAGTCGGACACTGGAAAACACGCACCCCCACCCACCTTCCTCCACCCCCGGATTCTTACTTCGATAGTTTTCTGCTCTTGGCTTGAACCCTGTATGCCTGAATCATTCTTCTCCTGCCTTCTCTGTTAAATGGATGGCTTTCCTCCGTGAATGACTGTCATACGAAATCAATGCAGGGTAGTATCCATTACACTTTGAGATGATAGAGCCCCCACCCTGTCACTCCGGCGGTTGAGTAAGGGACTCTTCCTTGAACTCTGCCTTTATCTTTCCACAGCTAAAGCATTTCAGCTGTTTAGTTTCTCTTGTCTTCTCTTTTCTATATTCCACGATAACAGTTACAAACAATATGAGAAATAGTTCATTTTGGCACTATAGTTGAATTTGGAAAAATCTTATCAAAAAAGGTAATCATACTCGTTTATTAAGCAGAACCACATCAGCTTTGTTTTGAAACTTTGGAAATTTCAGCTTACATTTTTCTGCTTAGCCGCTTTAGTTCCAAAAGATCTTTAATGGTTGTATTCTCCTTAGAATGCGAGTTACTAAGAAATATGGGTTCTAGTTATTTTCTTATCATCACCTTAGTTCTGAAAGGATTGCAAAGTCAGAGCAATGTCAAGATGTGACCTGCAATGGTAAACAAAATATCAGAGACTAAGCAAAGGCTTGCTTGATGTTGGAAGAACTCACCAAAACACTTATCATTTGGTTTCTAGAAACCACATAGAATTGTAAGCCTCAGGTGTCAAACTTCACAGCCATTATGTGTGGTGCTGACCAACATACTTGGGTCAGCATGGGACAGGATGTTTGTCAGGTGTAATCAAAGAGGCAAGAGAGATTTGGGTTCAGATTAGTGACATATGTGTACCTTAGAAGGGGCTTCCAGGATGTACAATGGAGTCATTATTAATGAAAAACAACAAATCTGAAATTGAGTTGATCTCCTTTTGTTTAGACGAGAAGGACTCAGCTGACATACCACAATTGAGCTGCCCAACACCAATGTTGAAAAGAAGCTCAAGTTTAAATTTGTGATCTTACACATTATTAGGACACCTTGAAAATTAGGCCAGTCATCCTACCCCAGTGTTACTGTCTTTGTACACATCACACCTTATATTACACTTTTGAGATTTTTCTCTAGCACACAGTAACTTATTAAAGTGTAAAAAGTCATTGGTATGTGAATATATATTCTGTTTTGTTAATTACTTGAAGTTGACTGTCAACCTGTTGCCCAGAACTCTTTCACTTTCTATTCACTAAGGAATTAAGGTCATACCTGCACTGGAATGCAAATATTCTGTGTTGCCAGTTAAGGTAGGGGTCTATATGCTTTGAAAAATCAGTTGAGCTATGAAAAGGGTTAAAAAAATAAAGGGACCTAACCAAAATAGGTAATAAGACAACTCTTC